TACTATGACGTTTTGTGGCATTTTTCTGCCATACTATACTATCTCGTTTGATGCCTGACCATACTATGACGTTTTTATGTCCTTTTATGCCTTAATAGGCTATGATGTTTTTTTGACATTTTATGCCATACTGTACTATGACGTTTTGTGGCATTTTTCTGCCATACTATACTATCTCGTTTGATGCCTGACCATACTATGACGTTTTTATGTCCTTTTATGCCTTAATAGGCTATGATGTTTTTTTGACATTTTATGCCATACTGTACTATGACGTTTTGTGGCATTTTTCTGCCATACTATACTATCTCGTTTGATGCCTGACCATACTATGACGTTTTTATGTCCTTTTATGCCTTAATAGGCTATGATGTTTTTTTGACATTTTATGCCATACTGTACTATGACGTTTTGTGGCATTTTTCTGCCATACTATACTATCTCGTTTGATGCCTGACCATACTATGACGTTTTTATGTCCTTTTATGCCTTAATAGGCTATGATGTTTTTTTGACATTTTATGCCATACTGTACTATGACGTTTTGTGGCATTTTTCTGCCATACTATACTATCTCGTTTGATGCCTGACCATACTATGACGTTTTTATGTCCTTTTATGCCTTAATAGGCTATGATGTTTTTTTGACATTTTATGCCATACTGTACTATGACGTTTTGTGGCATTTTTCTGCCATACTATACTATCTCGTTTGATGCCTGACCATACTATGACGTTTTTATGTCCTTTTATGCCTTAATAGGCTATGATGTTTTTTTGACATTTTATGCCATACTGTACTATGACGTTTTGTGGCATTTTTCTGCCATACTATACTATCTCGTTTGATGCCTGACCATACTATGACGTTTTTATGTCCTTTTATGCCTTAATAGGCTATGATGTTTTTTTGACATTTTATGCCATACTGTACTATGACGTTTTGTGGCATTTTTCTGCCATACTATACTATCTCGTTTGATGCCTGACCATACTATGACGTTTTTATGTCCTTTTATGCCTTAATAGGCTATGATGTTTTTTTGACATTTTATGCCATACTGTACTATGACGTTTTGTGGCATTTTTCTGCCATACTATACTATCTCGTTTGATGCCTGACCATACTATGACGTTTTTATGTCCTTTTATGCCTTAATAGGCTATGATGTTTTTTTGACATTTTATGCCATACTGTACTATGACGTTTTGTGGCATTTTTCTGCCATACTATACTATCTCGTTTGATGCCTGACCATACTATGACGTTTTTATGTCCTTTTATGCCTTAATAGGCTATGATGTTTTTTTGACATTTTATGCCATACTGTACTATGACGTTTTGTGGCATTTTTCTGCCATACTATACTATCTCGTTTGATGCCTGACCATACTATGACGTTTTTATGTCCTTTTATGCCTTAATAGGCTATGATGTTTTTTTGACATTTTATGCCATACTGTACTATGACGTTTTGTGGCATTTTTCTGCCATACTATACTATCTCGTTTGATGCCTGACCATACTATGACGTTTTTATGTCCTTTTATGCCTTAATAGGCTATGATGTTTTTTTGACATTTTATGCCATACTGTACTATGACGTTTTGTGGCATTTTTCTGCCATACTATACTATCTCGTTTGATGCCTGACCATACTATGACGTTTTTATGTCCTTTTATGCCTTAATAGGCTATGATGTTTTTTTGACATTTTATGCCATACTGTACTATGACGTTTTGTGGCATTTTTCTGCCATACTATACTATCTCGTTTGATGCCTGACCATACTATGACGTTTTTATGTCCTTTTATGCCTTAATAGGCTATGATGTTTTTTTGACATTTTATGCCATACTGTACTATGACGTTTTGTGGCATTTTTATGCCTAATTATATTATTTCGTCTCATGCCTTGCCATACTGTAACGTTTTTATGTACTTTTATGCCTTAATAGGCTATGATGTTTTTTTGACATTTTATGCCATACTTTTTTTTGCCGTTTTTTGGCATTTTAATGCCTTACTATACTATCTCGTTTGATGCCTGACCATACTATGACGTTTTTATGACCTTTTATGCCTTAATATACTATCATGTATTTTTGATGAATTTTGCCATACTATACTATGAGGTTTTTGGCATTTTTCTGCCATACTATTTTTTGCCGTTTTTTGGCATTTTAATGCCTTACTATACTATCTCGTTTGATGCCTGACCATACTATGACGTTTTTATGACCTTTTATGCCTTAATATACTATCATGTATTTTTGATGAATTTTGCCATACTATACTATGAGGCTTTTGGCATTTTTCTGCCATACTATTTTTTGGCATTTTAATACCTTACTATACTATCTCCTTTGATGCCTGACCCATAGTGTGGTGTTTTTATGACCTTTTATGCCTTAATATGCTATGATGTATTTTTGATGTTTTTATGCCATACTATACTATGACGTTTTGTGGCATTTTTATACATAATTATATTATTTCGTCTCATGCCTTGCCATACTGTGACGTTTTTATGTACTTTTATGCCTTAATATACTATGATGTTTTTTTGACATTTTATGCCATACTATACTATGACATTTTTTGGCATTTTTCTGCCATACTATTTTTTGGCATTTTAATGCCTTACTATACTATCTCGTTTGATGCCTGACCATACTATGACGTTTGTATGACCTTTTATGCCTTAATATACTATCATGTATCTTTGATGTATTTTGCCATACTATACTATGTCGTTTTCTGGCATTTTTCTGCCATACTATTTTTTGCCGTTTTTTGGCATTTTAATGCCTTACTATACTATCTCGTTTGATGCCTGGCCATACTATGAAGTTTTTATGACCTTTTATGCCTTAATATACTATGATGTTTTTTTGACTTTTTATGCCTTACTATGACATTTTTATGCCTTATTGAAAATTTGATTTATGACAGAAAGATGAAAAAGTGAATACAATCAGACCGGAAAGTAAACATTTAAATATGGCTGTTTTCATTTGTGCACAAAGGAGAGATCTGGTACAATGCAAACCAAGGTCTCTCTCGTAAAAACAAAAGTCTGACTGCTTGTGTGGTCTTTTGCTCTCAGATGTGCGTGACAAGCTGACATCGATCTGGAGATCTTCACATCTGTGGGGCCTCTTAGCTGTTACTTGTCTATCTTCAGAGCTCCTGAGATCATTCTCCATCTGTGGGGCTCTAACGATATAAGCAAACACAAACATTCATCAGTCTAACTAGGATGTCCAAAAGTGTCCTAAATACGTCAGTGTTATACACATATATACAGCCATATATCACTTATATTCTAAAGTCAAAGTTATATGCATGTTAAAAAAATTAATACCTTACACTATTCTGTGCCTTAATATACTATGTTGTTTTTAAAACTTTTTATTCCCCACTCTACTTTGACGTTTTATCAATTTTTATGCCTTTCAATACTATGTTGTTTTAATGACTCATGCCATAAAAAGGCATAAAACGTCATAGTATAGTAAAGCATAAAAACATCAGTATAGTAAGGCATAAAAGCGTCATAATATAGTAGGGTATAGAAAGTCATTAAAACATCATACTATAGTAAAGCATAAAAAGTCATAAAAATGTCATAGTATAGTAAGGCATAACAAGCAATAGAAACAACATAGTACGGTAAGGCATAAAAAATCGAAAACGATATATCGTTTTCAATTTTGCCTTATTTTATTATATAATAAAGTAAGGCAAAAAAAAACGTCACAAAAGTAAGTCATAAAAATGTCATAAAAACATAATATAATAAGGTATAAAAAGTCATGAAAATGTCATAGTATAGTAAGGCATAAAAAATAATAAAATGTCACAGTACAACAAGGCGTAAAAAGTCCTTAAAACAACATGGTAAGCATAAAAGTCACAAAAAAACTTATTACTTGACTTATTACATATATATGAAATATTTGTCCCTATATCAATAGTGATGTGTCATCTATAAGAGGATATATTATTATAACATATATACATCCTCTGGATATATGAAGATATAAGTTCATAACATATGATATATTAATTAAAATACAACTTTATTAAAACAAGTTATTTAAATTCTATATGTTTGTATATGATTTTCTTCACAATTTCTTATTAAATTTAACCATACATGTTTATCTTCTACATTATATATGTAATGAACATATACTCACAGGCATTGGGATGGATATGTAACATATGTGTATGAACCTGTAATAGAAAAAGCCATATTAAAATACGTTTCTATTAGATAGACATATCTGTCAATACATGATATTGTCCGAAGGTGATCATGTGTTTTCCAAAAGTGGCCAAGTGGCACAAGTCTATTTTGGTTTAGACTGGTGTAAAGTTTGTTTCAAAACTCTGTGAGTAAAATTGAAAAAGTGTAGAATTGAGATCCACAAATGCTTTACAAATAAGAAATTGATTCACATATGCTTCATCTTTTTTTTTTTAAATTAATTGTATGTATTCAGAATTTATTTTTTATTTCTGGAATACTTGCAAGATATTTTTTTGTATTTGTGGAAGGTGTTTCATATTTACAGATTAAACATTTACGCACAGATTATTGATCTATTCATATGAATATTATTGAAACAAATCTACCTCCATACTGAAGTTATAATGTAATAATTACTTTTCTTGTTGCACGTTCATGATACTAGTTACAATACTTGATGCTCAGTGCTTTTATTCCTAATCCATTTATGTATTAACATATTCAGTGCTTCACTTGAATGGTTATTGCAGCAGCAGCTACAGTCCATCATGTTTTATACAATACTTCTCCAGTGCCATTGTGTGTGAATGTTCCAGTGTTGTGTTGAATGCATCCTGTTAGTGTGATTATCTCACTGCATGTCTACTTCTTCATTACTGATGAACTCACGACTCTGAACCTCTTTATCCGTCAATTTCTCCTGCTCTCTTCATCTCTCCTCTCTTTCATTTCCTCTTAAGATCTAAGAAGTCCAAGCTTTCCATCGACAAATCTACAGAGACGGACAACGGCTACGTGTCGCTGGACGGCCGAGTGACCAATCGCAGCAGCGAGGAAGGGCTTCAGCTCCACGAGCAGCGATGTGATTCGTTAAACAGGGCCGACGAGGTGTGCTGGAACCCGCACGTCCAGCCCACACACACTCATACAGCCCGCAGCACAGGACTGATGCTGGCCAGTGGCAATAAGGTGATCCATCCACTTATCATTATTTGTTTTTGATCTACTGTTTAACACATTATCGATCACCAAAGCATGTGATTATGCTGAAACATTATCTATCACTCCATGATTTGCTGATGGATGTGTGTTTTTTGTGTTGTCAAGGATCCAGCCTCAGATGAGGCGTCCAGCGAGGAGGACCCTGAAGCGTCCTACAGCACCCTCCGTAGGGGAGTTGAAAGGATGAACAGTGACTGTACGCTGCGTAACCGCAAGAATACACACCACTATAAGAAACACTACGCTGTGGAGGTAAACACACACAGAAAAAACATATTCACGTCTCAAGTCAGTTTATTTAAATTGTCAGGAAGGAAAACAGAACATACACACAACAATCCTGTCTCTGTCCCATCTTCTGTCAGGACGTCCCCAAGTCTGGCACCAGCTGCAGCTCCAGATGTTCCAGTCTGAGGACTCAGGACTCAGAGAGCACTCGACACGAGTCAGAGACAGAGGACCTGATGTGGGAAGATTTCCTGCACTGTGCCGAGTGCAGATCCTCATGCACCTCAGAAACAGGTCAGAGGAAGCGATCTGCATAGAACAGAGTAGAACCAAATGTAAACAGCCAAGAAAAAGGTTTAATGTGCTGCCCTTGCTCATACATGGATATCTGAGGGTTACTGTATTGAAACTGATACTCAGACTTCTTTTCTTCACAGAGGGAGAAGGAGGAGGAACACCTGTATGCCCTCCTGCTAAAAAGGAATATAGAGATGACCCTTTCCATCAGGTCTGTAAACTTATTGACACAACACATGTAGCTCGCAGGGGGAGAGTTAGTTAGTTTTTGAGTGTTGCTGTTGTAAATATTTATAGGAATCTAGATGTTTTAGAAGTCTGGGTTACCTATGACCAGTATTTCAAAGAGGAATTTAAATGCTGTCTAAATGAAGTAGCCTAGACATATAAGTCATCTGATCGTTTCTTTACTACCACATCTGATCTGAATTGTAATAAAGAGCATGTGAATATTAACGTGGGTATTGGTGTGGTGTGTATGTTTCTGCAGGGTCATGTTCCCTGGCTTCACAGCTCCAACCCTGGCCTGGAGAGAGTGAGTGCTATAGTGTGGGAGGGAAACGAGTGTAAGAAGGCAGACATGTCCGTCCTGGAGATCAGTGGCATGATCATGAACAGAGTGAGACACAATTTCTGTGATCCTAAAAGAATAAACTATACTTTTCACGTCTTAACATACATGTGTGTAAAAAAAAAAAAAAGAAGATGTTAACCATTTAATTGTTTTCTGGTTCACACAGGTGAATCTCTACACGCCTGGTATTGGTTACCAGGTCTTTGGGAACCTGGTTTCAGTGACACTTGGACTCACACCTTTTGCGTACAGGTACTGCTGACATCATCCCTCAATATGTGAAGTTAGTTAAAATGATACCTGCTTTTAATCTCCAGTAACAACAAACAAAAAAAAATGTACTACAGATTGTGAATTTTCAATATTTGGAAAAATGCTCACTAACAGTACAAGTACAAAACATCTGGCCATGTTTTACTCACGTCAGTCTCCCTCTCTCTCCTACAGGCTGGCTCAGTACCGCGACTTGGATCAGCTGACCACGCTCTCAGCCAATGAGTTGCTGTCTGTGGCACTGGGGGGCGGGTCTGGGTCGGATGCACTGGTCATCACCATGGTGACACTGAGCTTCCTGGTGCGTGTTTGCCTTATATGGCTCTTCTTCTTCCTGCTCAGCGTAGCAGAGAGGACGTACAAACAGGTGAGGAGATGAAATTCACATTTGGTGCTTTTACTTGTGGAGCTACAAGAACTGTTTTCTGACGCGTGAAGCTGAGTTGGACACTTAATAGCCTTTACTTATTCTATATGTTTGTATTTGTGTTTCAGAGGCTACTGTTTGCCAAACTGTTTGGTCACCTGACTTCAGCCCGCAGAGCCAGGAAGTCTGAAGTCCCCCATTTTAGACTGAAGAAAGTTCAGAACATCAAGATGTGGCTGTCGCTACGCTCCTACCTCAAGGTACCGCATAGTTTTATTTATCTACATTTTGATTGTTTATATGGTAATTAACTGTAAGATTAGTATCAATGTTAAATGATTTTTCTAAATTTATAAATGCATCTGTTAATTCTGGAGTTGGACACATTCACAGCTGTAATGAAAAATGTAGAGACACAAACTGAGTGACATTCTGTTGCGCTGTACTTTCAGAGACGGGGTCCTCAGCGTTCAGTGGATGTGATAGTGTCGTCAGCCTTCCTCCTCACTTTGTCCGTCGTCTTCATCTGCTGTGCCCAGGTATTTCTGAGAGTGTCAAATCATTCAAATGATAGTGTTGAAGATCTATGAGTACGTCCAGGTGACTTTTATGAGCTGAGATCAAATTACAATTTGATGTTCAGCACATTATGTGAGCGCAAAAAGGAAAACTTCCCAATGAGAACAAATGCTTTTGTGAGTTTTGTTCGCTAGATTTAGGTGTTTATCTTGTAGTTGTAGCAGTCATTAACATACCACAAGTTATTTTACTTTCCTTATTTGTGTACCTCAGTTTTGAGTGGATTTATAAATGAAAGCAACTGTGTGGAGGATTTTCATGTAATTATATGATCTGGTGCAGTCTATGCTGCTGTCTTCCCTAAGTGTCTTTTTTTCAATAAACAACCACTGGAAGGATATTTCCAAAAATTCAACACACAGTGGCTTTAAAAAGCCTTCACTCTGAGAACCAAATAAACTACCAAAAGAAACATTTTTAGACACCGAATAACATACCGACCTCTCTCTTTTCAGTTGCTCCACGTCCATGAAACGTTCCTGGAGTGTCACTATAACTGGGAGCTGGTGATCTGGTGCTCCAGTCTGTCTCTGTTCTTGCTCAGGTTCGTCACGCTGGGCTCTGAGACCAGCAAGAAGTACAGCAACACCTCCATACTGCTGACTGAACAGGTACAAACACACACAGAAAACACACAGTACATTACCACACAGCAGACCTGTCTGGAAACGCTCACATCGATCCATTGTGTGTTTGACAGATCAACCTGTATCTGAAGATGGAGAAGAAGCCAAACAAGAAAGAGGAGCTGACACTGGTCAACAACGTGTTAAAACTGGCTACCAAACTACTCAAGGTACGGACAAAGCAGCTTTCAAAATTTACTACTTTTTTTTTTTTAATAAACATTTAAATTTTTAATGATCTAACTAATTTATCTCTCTCACCAGGAGCTGGATACTCCGTTCAGGTTGTATGGTTTGACCATGAACCCTCTGCTCTACAACATCACACAGGTGGTCATCCTGTCTGCAGTGTCGGGAGTCATATCTGACCTGTTAGGATTTAACCTGAAGGTAAGTGTGTGTGACAGAGCTTTATGGGCATTTCACTTTGTGTCATTATGTTTAAGTGCAACGTCAGACCGCACATCTGTTAGTTTATTGCCTTTATTCCAGTCTCTTGAACACTATTTGCTGTTGGTCAACGGCACAAATTTGTGTGTCAGCTATCACCCAAATTGAACTCCATGTCCATCTTTACTGACTGCAGTGACTCCAGTGATTTGAGATTGGTCTGGAAGTTCACTGGAATCACTGCAAATCTGCACTTTTAACCAATAGCAAGACGTCTTAACAGCGCTGACCACAAAGTCCAAAAGAGAGGAACCTGTCATAGTTTATTTGTACCATACAGTTTTATAGAATACTGTTCCACTGAAGCATAAATGTCCAGAGAATAAACATGCACAGTTATGAGGCATAAGTTGATCTTGAGTAAACTCTTAACTAGTGTAAAAACTACAGTAGTTCAACCAGTAGGCTTGCGTGTAGTCACTGTCGCCAACACTTGCAGACGAACTGAACTGGGCCACCTTCTGGTGTGACCTGTCTTTACAGCGTGGTATTTAAACTACTGTTGGAAATGGAACAAGCATTTAACCTTGAAACTGTACATCTGAATAATTACTGCAGAACACAGAAACTTTTACATTGTGTTTGTCATTGAAAATCTAACAGAAGATTTGTGTTTCGTTTCTTTCTGTTCACAGCTGTGGAAGATCAAATCGTGACAGTGAACAGAGAAACAGTGTCAACTTGTCAGTCTCCACATATCGGAGTGCTTTGACCTTCAACGTTCTCACTTTGTGCAATTCACAAAACTATTTATTTACCCACTCAGTGTTTTTACTTAGGGTTTATTTGAATTCTAGTTTGTTTCCATTTTTGTGTTTTATGACACAACAATGCTATATTTCACCTGTCTACAAAAAGTGTTATTATTATAAGAAATTAATAATATTATTATCATTATTATTGTGACAATTTAGGTTCTAAGCTGCATTTGCGACAGTTTTCATTTCAGTTCATTCGCAAATATGAAGGCAAAGTATTGAGCTGCCAACAGGGCAGAAATCTTTTTATTGTAATTTTTGTGTTTTACTTGCTTAAACTGAAAGTTATTATTTATGTCGAGTGAGTTTCAAAACAAAACTTCAAACTGTTACGACTGTAAAACCTGTTTTTAAAAATACACAAGTTGGTCCAGTGGTTTTCTTCCGACAAAGAAATTAATTTCTAAAGTTTTAATGTGTGTAAAACATTTTTAGATGGTGCAGTAAATGATTTAAACCAGAGTAACATTGTGTTAGTCACAGGGACTCTTAATTATCCTGAACCTGGCTGGTTTGGTGAAGAAATTAATTCGCTAAAATTTAAGATGCTGATATTTTTGGTATAATTCATGGTATTTGACAAATACCAGGAATTACAACTTTACAACTACCCTCTATTCCCTATTCAAACCAGCCCCCACACATAAATGCTTAAAACAGTTATATTTACATATCTGTTAATATGATGTTAACAGTACCGTTCTGCAGGTTAAAGTTGTTGTCTTACCTGACAAAACTGTTCATGGATTTGTTCTCATTTGGGGAGAGGTGAAATGCCAGGTGACATAAGCACTGCAAAGAAACAATCATCCAGTTAATAGAAATAACAGCAAGGAGAAAAGGTGTCATTTACAGAAACCTCTGAAGTTTAGACAAATTAAAGAAACACATATGATCTCAATCTTAATTTCCATACAGATGAGGACTTGTGTGTAAAAATACAAACACAGTCTCATTGGGGTTTTCCTGAAGAATTCCTCACTGTAGTGCATATGAATTACAATGATCCCTTTTTTATTTATTCTTTTATTAAACAGTGTTTAAATGGTCAGTGGTTTTAACAGTATTTCCAGCAACACATGTGAAAGTAGTAACTTTTCCTCACACAGCTGATGTAGTTCAGGATATTTTCATACTATGTTACAACATGCAGGTAATGAATGAGATTTGGATGAAATGACTTCAAACAGCTTCATAGTAGAGGTTGATGGTGTTTACCTCAACCTTTTTTGAACTTTTGTTCAGATCTACAGAGAGGCCTGATTGCTGCATTAAAAGCCAATTCCTAACTTCAATTAAATTAGTGGTTTTTATCCGAGAGAAGTATCAGCTGTTTTTGTCTCAGATTTTACAGCAGAATCAAGTTCAATTCTGAGTCACAAACTTTTCTTGTTCCTGATTTTTCTCTAGTGACACTCTGTTTTTAAAACATCTGCTATCAAAATGTCCCATTCTTAGTGTAAGAACATGGTAATTGGCCAGTTATTGGAAATATTGAAATATTACTTTCTAGAGCTCTTCAATTACAAATATTTTAATATTTTAGAGAAATTTTCAGGATTTTTTTTTTGGTGCAGTTTGTGTGAAAATCTTAAATGTAATTTTCTGGTCGATGCTACATCCTGCACGTCATAACAACATGAAGAGTTTTAGCTGTTTGAACATTTTGGGATCTGATTGGTGTTTTTATATCAGTCAGTATTCATTGGATTTTATAGAAAATTTGATATCAAACTCCCAGAGCTACTTGGACGGCAGAGTCATGTGCACGGCGAAGTGAAAGTCAGTTCACTGTCACAGGTTTCTAAACACTGCAGTTGTCTGAATATGAATCAAGATACGCACTTTAAAAAAACAGATTTTAAAATGGGAGAAAAGACGTTACACCTTGTTTCAATGTCAAGAGATTTTCTTTTGTACCTCACCTGCTTGTGTTTCGCTGTTCAAGTGAATGCTAGCTCTGAACTTAATCTTCACATCACTCTCTGAAGTCAATTCTACATGGTACGTGAATTTATCATGCCCACAGAAAACATCTTAAATGTGATTAAAATGCTGACACAAGTTGTTGCCTCAGTTAATTAGTTAGCAATTCGCTGACTGAAACTAACTTCATTCATAAAAATGCTAGCATTATCATCTTCAGTGTGATTGGGGAGGAAGACCAAAGTGCTTATTGTTTGTTTTTTGTTTGTCTCTGCTGGAAAAAAGAATGTATTTGCAGCATTATGCTTTAAAATCTATTTGTTTCCCTTTGGAAATACTTTAAGTTGTATTTTTGTTTTCTTTTTGACATTGAGCTTTTTGTTCTTTCATTATTCATTTGTAAAAGTTGTTTGTTCTTCACGCTTGTCGGAAAGGAGAGATGTGTTTGTTTTTAAGGAACAAAGAAGTTTGAATTGTATGTATGAAAATGAATCTAGGTAAAAAGGACTCTATGTTGTGATTCTGTTTTTAAAGAGTCTGAATATTTAGATTTAGATTTTTTTGTGAACTGGTCTGTCCACAAGGTCTACATTTTTATAAGAAAATAAAAAGAAATGGATGTTGACTCCCTGATTCTTTTTTTGTCTTTCAGTACTGTAGCAAAACCTTAAATAAGTAGAAAAATATAACAAATGTGAAGACAGTCAAGTAAATAACACCCTATCGTCCTTAGCAACATGTACAAAAATGCTAACAGGGCCCAGTTGTATGCAGGCCCCTAAGGACAGAATACATACAGCTGTGGCCAAAAGTTTTGAGAATGACACAAATATTAATTTTCACAAAGTCTGCTGCCTCAGTTTTTATGGTGGCAATTTGCATATACTCCAGAATGTTATGAAGAGTGATCAGATGAATTGCAATTAATTGCAAAGTCCCTCTTTGCCATGAAAATGAACTTAATGCCAAAAAAAAAAAAAACATTTCCACTGCATTTCAGCCCGGCCACAAAAGGACCAGCTGACATCATGTTGGTGATTCTCTCGTTAACACAGGTGAGAGTGTTGACGAGGACGAGGCTGGAGATCACTCTGGCATGCTGATTGAGTTAGAATAACAGACTGGAAGCTTTAAAAGGAGGGTGGCGCTTGAAATCATTGCTCTTCCTCTGTTAACCATGGTTACCTGCAAGGAAACACGTGCAGTCATCATTGCTTTGCACAAAAAGGGCTTCACAGGCGAGTGTATTGCTGCTAGTAAGACTGCACCTAAATCAACCATTTATCAGATCATCAAGAACTTCAAGGAGAGAGGTTCAATTGTTGTGTAGAAGGCTTCAGGGTGCCCAAGAAAGTCCAGCAAGCGCCAGGACCATCACCTAAAGTTGATTCAGCTGCGGGATCGGGGGAACCACCAGTGCAGAGCTTGCTCAGGAATGGCAGCAGGCAGGTGTGAGTGCATCTGCACGCACAGTGAGGCGAATACTTTGTCTGGTGTCAAGAAGGGCAGCAAAGAAGCCACTTCTCTCCAGGAAAAACATCAGGGACAGACTGATATTCTGCAGAAGGTACAGGGATTGGACTGCTGAGGACTGGGGTAAAATAATTTTCTCTGATGAATCTCCTTTCCGATTGTTTGGGGCATCCGGAAAAAAGCTTGTCCAGAGAAGAAAAGGTGAGCGCTAGCATCAGTCCTGTGTCATGCCAACGGTAAAGCATCCTGAGACCATCCATGTGTGCAGTTGCTTCTCAGCCAAGGGAGTGGGCTCACTCAAATTTTGCCTAATAACACAGCCATGAATAAAGAACGGTACCAAAACATCCTCCGAGAGCAGCTTCTCCCAACCATCCAAGAACAGTTTGGTGATGAACAATGCCTTTTCCAGCATGATGGAGCACCTTGCCATAAGGCAAAAGTGATAACTCAGTTTCTCAGGGAACAAAATTTTGGGTCCATGGCCAGGAAACTCCCCAGACCTTAATCCCATTGAGAACTTGTGGTCAATCCTCAAGAGGCGGGTGGACAAACAAAAACCCACAAATTCCAAGCATTGACTATGTAAGAATGGGCTGCCATCAGTCAGGATGTGGCCCAGAGGTTGATTGACAGCATGCCAGGGCGAATTGCAGAGGTCTTGAAAAAGGAAGGTCAACACTGCAAATATTGACTCTTTCCATAAACTTCCAACAACGTAATTTCTCAATAAAAGCCTTTGACACTTATGAAATGCTTGTAATTATACTTCAGTATACCATAGTAACATCTGACAAAAAGGTCTAAAAACACTGAAGCAGCAAACTTTGTGACAAACAAAACTTGTGTCATTCTCAAAACTTTTGGCCACGACTGTACATAGTTTTCAGCAGGTGAATTTTAAAAATAATTTAAAAAAAATAAAGATGCTGCAGGTGGCATCTCAAAATTGCTTGTTTTGTCCGAACCAACTGTTTAAATTCCACAGATACTCAATTTATAATGATATCAAACGGAAACAGGAGAGATTCTCACATATGACAGATATTATTTTATAATATGCCCTATATAGTAAGGTTTAAATTAGGAAACTACAATCAGCAACTCTTTGACATTTCTACTTGATAATATTTTCAACTTTAACGCCACTGTACCCCAAGTAGTTTCTGTACGTTTGTTCCCCCTTTTCACATTTTTATTCATTTTTCACTGCAATATAAAGTCCTGCACCTCAATGGAAACAGCACAACCATGGCTAGAAGTAGAGAGCTCAAAATGTCTTTTGTGCAGCATAAAACATTTATAGTGCCATTAATCACTAAAAATAAATAAAACAAAATATGTTTTTCTTTGATAAGTTATATGAAAAAAAATTAAGAATTAAGGAAAATTTATTTGGGAGCTTCACATGCTTTACATACTGAGCTATTGACATGTTTATAACTGTAAGAACCAGGCCACTTCAACTATTTACATATCATTCAAAGCAACTATATACAACACTTCTACTACAGGCATGCAGGGGAACCATAGTCATGCCAGTCTACATCAGTTCTTATTTAATATCAGGCACAGTGCCACACTTTCTGCACTGTGTGTGTATATATATATATTCTCTGCTACACAATGGGAATAGGTATTATAGGGGGGGCACCAGGTGACATTGCACTATAAATATTATAATATAGTCTACTATAATTCATTATATTGTAACAGTAATATTATAATACCTTACAGGTTGTTATAATATGTATAAATACAACCTATTCACATATTTTATGATAATATGATGAACCTATTTCATACTCGGGATTGCACCTGTTTTATACTCGGGATTGCTACATCCGGGTCTTTCCCCTCCTGAAAATCCCTTCTGACTCTCTTGAAAACCTGTCAGAAGCTATTATAATATTCATAAATAGAACCCAGACACATATCATAGAGATACAGCATGCTAAAAAGAGGAAACAGCCCTGAAATAGAACGATAGAGGACTACTCACATGTCCTCACATGGACCAAGATGGCGCGGAATCCTCGTCTGACTCGGTCGTCTGAATCCGGTCGTTTCCGTCGTCCTCGCAGCTGAAACTATCTTCCAGTAACTTACTAGCAGCGTTTTTCAGTCTGTATCCTCTTTGTGACACGATAAATGTGTTTTAGAACTCAAACTTTTCATGTTTCGTGTGTCTCTCCAACCCCATTCGTCCACGCTCTTCTCTTTGAAAACAGCCTGCTAACTTCCGTGTGTTCGTGTCACATGTCTACGTATCGGTCAGCTGACATCTACGTCATCATGGCTGCGCGGAGGAGCGTAGATTTATCTGTTTTAAATGATTTAGCTAAAGCAAACTGCTTATTTTTGAGATTTTTTTTTTTTTTTTTTTTTTAAATAGGGCATGTAGACAAGCAATTTTGATGAAAGTTTCTAATTAGAAGTTTAAATTCTGTTACATTTTCTTACGGAAGCGTATGTTATATATGTTTACTTCAAGGACCATCGGAAAGTTGAAAATCCGACGATTTGTTCAGTCTTTACAGCTTCTGGCTATGATAAGTGCTTTATTTTTGGCGATTCTCGAATAAAAAATGGTTTTTCAATTCTGGCCGCGACATCCCGTGAACGGGACTTGGGGTTCAAGGGGGTTAAATTTACTATACCTTTAATTATATATTTGAAATAGGCCTGCATTATTTTTGCATTATATAAGACTGAGCTGCCTAGTTGTAAAAAGTAAATTTATCTCAGCAAATACTGCTTAAGTTATTTGCTGTACCTGGTGTTTATATTAAATAAATACTTTGTTGTAACAAATTTAATGTACAAGGAAGCTAATCCTGTCATGGTTTAGAGTTTTGCACATATTAACCACTAACAGCACAAAATGACAGATCAAAAAACCTTTTTATTAGAACAATACAGCAGATATAAAGGTCTATTGCAATCAAACACTCCCATCAGAACGGAACGTGTGCTTCAACAGACAATATGCGCTCCCCAAGAGAAATAAATTAATATAAACAGAAACAGAAAATTGGAAAAAGAAAAGAAAAACATAAGATGAAAGATTTTTTTCTTCTTCTTCTTCAAAGCAAAGTGTGACGCAAAGAGGAGATGCAGATCATTCAAATAATAATTGAACTTGCTGATGGGAAACTCGCAAAAATACAGTTTACGACAAGCTCAGAATAGAAGTGTTTCCATTGTGCCTGTGCAAGATTTTGGTATTTTCAGAAAAACGTATACAAGATCACCTTGTATTAACTTCAGAGTACAGTCTCAATAACAATTTGAGGCTATTCATGTGTAGTATTTGTGGTGCCTCTTTGAGAATATTGTCAGATTGTTTCAGGAAATGTCATGTTTTGTTTTTTGCTATTTTAGGGTGAGAGAGACTCTGGTACTCTGGGCCTCTCTGTTCTCATCACATATCATCATGTGTGATGAGAACAGAGAGGCCCAGATCTGGCTGATATAAACGGATGAGAACAAAAAAAAAAAGATCAAAGAGAAAAGAAAAAAAAAAGCAAAATTAAAGCTTGCCATAATAATAATAATAATACCAAAAACAGCAGTGGATAAATTAAAATACAATCCAGGCAGAAAGAAAAACACGTTTTCAGACAGAGAATCCTTTTTCTGTGTGGAGGTGAATCTTATCAAGTGCCACAGAGGAGGAGGACTACATTGAACTGCATCTGTACTGTATTAATACTGCAGATTTACAGTACCAAAATGACATACATGACTCTGGAGCCTTGTTTATAAAAATGTCTTAAAGTTATCCTTGTGTTTTAAGGAGTCATTTAAGGGCATGTCATAAAAAAGAATAAACTTATCGGTGGCATAGAAATTAGTTTTATCGTTAGATATATAAGACGATTTACAGTAAGAAGATAAATGAAAATGGCTACATATCAAGATGACTTATGTTTCATCATTTTGACTTTATATTTGGTTTCAAGCACACATGAGAAGGTTTCATTAATGAGGCCCCAGGTCTGATTTGAGATCAGTGCTCCGACTCTGTGATGCTTGAAAAACACAAGGCCGCAGGTTCAACACGAGAGTGAATTAAAAACAAAAAAACAAAAAACTGAGTAGAGGACAGTCGTTATGTCCATATATTTCCAGGTTTTTAGGTCAGAAAAGTGACTCTGAGTTGTCACTTCCCACCTGCACTGGTGACAAAATACAAGCAAGTCTTGTTTGATAAGATTCAGGTGTTGTGCCTTATATTTCCTCTTCACCTCTACCTCTCATCCTTGCATATACAGACTTAATGAAATTGTTTGAAGCGCTTCCCTCCAATCACAGAAACTATTACTCGCTCCACTGCACCTCACTGCTAGAACAAGTGTAGGTATGAAACCTCTTCTCCTCATCTGTAATTGATTTATCATCTAACATATTTATTTATTCTTGCCATTATAACACTTTTTTTGTTCTTTTTTCATATACATTTCATACAAATCTATAACCCAAAATTTAGAAATCTTATTTACATGGAAAAGGGTTCTTTTTTTTTTTACTTTTAAAAGTGACTATTAACCCCCCACCCACCCCAACATCTCCCCCCGCCACCTTAACAATCATGGAAGAAATCCAAAGACATTTTCCACTCAATTCTTTTTCTTTTTTTCATATTTGAATGCTCTAAAATGTGACTTGGAAAACGGCATTCAGCAAAAAACACCCCAAAATGTCTTTTTTTTTTGAAAGCCATAATTATGCTTCCTCTTCAAATCAAACCATTAAATGTCAGAACTCAACACAGAAGAAAATGTAGAATTACTTGAAGGGAGGTTTTGATTGGCTCACCCCCTCCTAAACAAACAGAGATACTTCCTGGAAAGAGTAGAGTCTCAAAAATCATTTTATAAAACACGCCATCTTGGAAGTGGTTTTATAGTCAAAGCAACAGAGCCAGAGGAGGTGAGGATGGACAGACAGAGACAGACAGACACAAAGATAACAAAAACCCTCCTCAATCAGTTTTAATAGCGCCCCCTGGGAGGCCATCCTGTGGATTACGCACACAAGCACACACTGGACAAGCCACATCGGCCTTCAGTTTAGGGGAGAGAGCGTGTGTGCATGTCTTAGGTTTGTGTATGTTTGAGGAGCGTGTGTGTGTGTGTGTGTGTGTGTGTGCATATTATTAGAACCAGTGCCTCCCCGCAAAATGTGTGTGAGTGAATGAGTGAGTCAGTTAAAGAGTGCCGTCCTCAGCGCAGCCCGCTCCCGCCGTGTAGCGAAACTCCTGTAGGTTGGATACACCGTGGAAATGAACAAAAGCCCCGGCAACAACCAAGATGTGGAACAACTGGTGGGAGTGGAACTACGGAGGAGAAAGAAAGAAAGAGGGAAAAAGAAAAAATTAAATGTGTGTGAAAGAGCAACAGAGCGACATAAAGAGAGAAAAAATGAGAAGAAGAAACTGCTCCTACTTTGGGATTATAAAAGGGAAACAAATAGGAAATAATGGCCTCTGTCTAGTCAGTGCATGTGTGTTTCTTAAACTCACCCAGATGTCACACTTGCCAGGGAAGAACCTCTCAGGGATACGAGCGGCATACAGACAGGCTCCGGTGATGTAGAGCATCGCCATCAGCAGCAACCAACCCATCTGACCCATGGTGGTCGCTTTGATCAGACCCTCGCTGATGACAAAGTGCAGGGTGGGAACCACGCCGCTCAGACCCAAACCCACGAACACTCCTACACAGAGAAGACAGGGTGAATACATGAGAGCCAACAATGCTGGTGAGAGCGGCGAGAGAGAACCAAGACAGTAACGTTTGGGACCAGAAAACCAAAACAATGAGCTGAAAGGTGCAGCACACACAGTTATTCAATCCACGAATTATATAAAACATTGATTAGAGAACCTTTAAAGAACAAAATACTACACTATCTCACTCTACCTGCTCTGACTCCTCTGTACTGCGGTGTGGCGAAGAAGTCGCACTGGGAAACGGTGATGGCGGCAAGCCCCAGTATACACACCACTATCAGGTAGATGAAGCAAGGCTGAGGGGAGCAGTAGAAGGAGTAGTACAACCAGGGGACGAATGAGCCCATGATCAGAAAGGCGATCCCACTGTAGTCCAGCCTAGAGGAAAACACAGAATCACCATGAATTCTCTACTCAAGTGTCATGAGCACTATGTCATGAGGAATGAGGCTTCATACTCTGTCGAGTTTACAGCGTGTGTGTCTTACTTGGAGAAGACTCTGGAGACGCCCTCAGAGTGGCAGTAGACTGTGTGGAAGAGCCAGGAGAAGGAGAGGCAGAGGATGGCTCCCAGGAAGAACATCCCGATCACAACCTTCTCCTGGACGGGAGCCACAAACGACATGTTGGGCCTGAACATGTACATGAGACCCAGACAGAGGAAAAACAAACATCCTGCAGAGAGAGAGAGAAATTATATTAACCAAGATAAACAACTGTTTCTGTTGCTCCACACTGCACATCCATTTTTTATGTGTTTATGTTTTATCAAATCAATTCACAAGTTCTCACTTATACCACAGCAACATTTAGAGGTAGTATCTCCTTTACACCACTAGGTGGGAGCAGAGGAAATAAATAGCCACAAAAAGTTGTTTTCAAGACCAGAGACAACTACAAAGAGCAAATTTGGCTTAAAGAAGAGAATTGAAGAAGAGCATTTCCAAACGGGACAGAAAAACACATGTCCTACTTATTCCAAGGAGCTCAACAAAAACAACTTTATTTTCTTACATAAACCACTTCAGCTCAGCTTTCATCACAACAGTGCTTAAAGCAGCTACTTAGCCTGGTCTTGCTGCATGACATTGTAATATTGTACACATGGATTTGTTACCTAATGGGACCTGGTTAAAAACATGAAGATTAGCTAAAGGATAAAACAAGAGTGAGTGCAGTAACATATTACAGAGAAACAAAAAACTAATTCTTGTCACTTAAATGTCCCAGTCCTGGCTGTCATGTGGTGAGTGTGTGTGCACATGTGTGTTCACTCTTATACATTTGTTTAAGCTTGTTGGAGCTCATATCAATGGGTTTAGGTTAGGAAAGCATTTGTGTTTGGATAAGTGCTACGGATGTGTGCATGTGTCCTACCTAGCAGGTGTGTCCAGATGTTTCCCGTCTCTGTGTGGATTCTGAAGATGCTCTTGAAGCAAGCGCGAAACGAAGGCATGGGTGGCCTGTGGCCATGAAGCAGGAAGTCGTTGTCCTTGAGCCAATCAGGGAGCACGTCATGAGGTATGACGCGCCACCGGCCTTCCCACACCTGATTGGTTAATAAAGGACACAGACAGAAACACCATATTGAAGTTTGGAATAGGAGGTAATGAAAAAAAAGACTCACAATTTAATCTAAATGTCCTCAATGAGAAACAGCGGGTTGTTTATTAAATGTCCTTGACACTGAGTGTTTGTGCATAAGAGTAGAGTACAGTATGTGATCACGAGAGTGTGTAGTGTAGGTGTCAGTGTCAAATGAGCAGCAAGGGGTCAGGCGATGTAAATAAATAAACTGAAGGCGATATGGCAGACACCCCTGACAGAGAGAAGAGAGAGAGAGAACTCTTTCACTGTTTCTCTCCCGAGTGATTAATTCCCCTAATTTACAACCTGCTGGTTGCAATTTCAGAAGCCTCTCAGTGTGTGTCCGTGTTTATCTGTGTGTGTGTGTGTGTGTGTGTGTGTGTGTGTGTGTGTGTGTGTGTGTGTGTGTGTGTGAATATCAGTCCAAGCTGGGATCATATGAGTCCACATTTCAGCAGTGTCCTCTTAGGAGCAGCCCCTCTAACTCTTCATGCGTGCCTCATTTATCATTTTCATCTCAAAATAATAATAAAACAGTTTATTAAGAAACTCCTACAGGACATAAACTGGCTTCTCGGAATATGTTGCGAAACCAATCAAAACCATAACCATGTCCTGAGAGTTTCTGGCAATGTAAATGGTAGAGGAAAAAAATAATAATGTGTCTTAATAATGTGTTTTTCCACTTTCAAACTACTCTGTAAAACAATCTCACCACTAGTAAACTGGTTGAATCCTGTTCTGTATTTTGAATGTTAAAACTGAACATGTGTGACACTGCCAGAGGTCAAGTACAACTTGAAAAAAATAAAATGAAAAATTGCTAAACCTGAGCATGTGAAATAGCTATTCATTGTTATTTTATGGTTTTATTGGTTTCTTTTACTATGTGGTTTTATTGAGTGCTGTTGTTTGAAAACTGCCTCTGTAAAACAAACATCGCTCTCGGGAAGATTCACTAATTTAGTGGGAGGAGGAATTAAAGGTGTACTGCTCCGAAGCATCTGTTCACTTAAAGAGAACGACTCGGGGGGAATATTTAATACAAAGGGGTGAACCAATTCAACATTCACTAAATATTTATCCCTGCACCTGTATGTGGTCAATACCTTGTGAACAAACTCCTCCATCCTCTCCATGGCATGGTGAGCCTGCAGTAATGGAGTCATCCCCATGAAACCTTCATCGCTGCTCCTCTCATCCTCTTCCCGGTCTTTCTCCTCTTCTCCTTCTCTTCCTCTGTCATCCTCTTCATTTATTCTTCTCTCCTCTTCGCACTCAGGGACACTCTGAAAAGAAAACAGACATATTGTTATGACAGAGGGATTTTAGAGGAATGGCTGTTTTCTGACATGTAGGACATTTTCTAAGAGCAAAAAGGAATTTAAAAATAGTCTGAATTTTAGTTCCTTGGGGCATTTCAGATTTGTTAGATGAGTTAAGTGAAATGTGACTGGGAGACAGAGGGGGTGACCTTCAGTTTGACCCTGCAGGGGACAAGGATGCCCATTTCAGACATGTGCAACATTTAATTGATCCCAGCTTACATAATACTCGTCTCACATGCAAATGAAATTTAACATGACAACAGAACTTCCTCGAAGGTTCATCATCGATCATTTTGCATAACCGGCTACTGACCAGTGAAATCTGACAAACACACAATAAGTCTTTAAGATAATAAGTCAACACAGACTTTTTAATATGATCATAAATAATAATTCTGTTGATCTCCCAGGGAAGAAATTTGTCTTAGCCTGCAACTACACCTTTTAAATTGACATTGACATTAAGCTTGATCAGTTCAGCATCATGTCACATTGTCCCTTTGACTGTGATACACTGTGACCATACAAAAAATATCTTAAAGCAGTGTAGGTACATAATGTCTACTTCTGACTTCCTGTAATCAGTTTAATATATATTAATTAATTCATTAATATGGGTGACTTTCCCTTCTCAAATTGTATGTATTAAAAAAAACTTGACAGGATGAACCTAAATAACGATAATAATGATTATAGAAAGTCTTTGTCTTTGCTTGTGTCTGTTTGTTTTTGAATCTTTTTTATCATATTAGGGGCTGTTCAGATGAAGCATCTAAAAACACGTCGAAAACGTGCCGCTCTCATGCTGTTGTCCAAGGCGCTTGGGAGGTTGTGCAACTGTTGCTCCTGCTGTTACTAAGAGACCAAAACCTTTAAACTGGATGTTAGTCCTTGGAAGAAAAGGATGAAGAAAGTCCTAAGGATCTCATTGGTTAATTCTTGTAACATGACCTGCGATGCTCTTGCTTCATTCGCAAAAGTTGAAATTTTTCCATCTCTGTGCGCCGCACACAGATGTGAGTGCGCTTGGTGTGTGTCTTCATTGAAAATAGTGAATTTGTGCGCCGAAGAGACCCTACGTCTGAACGGCCCCTTAGTCATCTCATGACTCCTCAGATTTATCTGAAAACCTTTGTTCTGGTTTGGACTCCAATGTTCAGAAGCATCGTCTTAAAAAATCTATACAAAAATGAGCAAGTAAAAAAGTAAATGTTGAAATTTGCTTTACTTAAAAGGAGCAGAAGGGAGGTTGCATACTACTAATCACAACACTGACTGGTTTGATTTGGGCATCTGGTCCAACTGCACACCAACCAAATCAGCTTATTAGAATTATAACAAGCAAAAGAAAACAGATCATTTTTCATCAGTCAGATGAAGACAGTCTATGTGTCTAATCTTCTATTTATAAACAGACGATTAGACAGACAGTGTGAATTCAATCTAACACAAAGCTGTCACAGCTGTGAAACCGGGGACAGAATTAATATGGCTAGCGCTTTGTGATAAATACACAGTCATTCATCATAACTGACACACACACCAACAAAAAGTCACACACAGACCCACATGCAGAGTCGAACACACACTGACACACTAAAAACAGTGGTGTTTTGTGTGGATTCAGGTGGACAACATTGATAAGGTTTAGGGGCATATCTGCATTAAAACCTGCAGGAAAACATATGCATATATTTTTATTTCTCTAATGCCAAAACAGACACACAATCTCCTTCACACACACACGCCACGTTTCTCTGAAAGGAAGTGATTATAAAAGATGTGCCTCCTGCTCCTTTTATTACTCCAGAAGAGGAGGAGGGTGGTGAAGAAAAGAGAGACATGAGTGAGAAAATTAGAGAAAGGCAGTGAGATGGAGATAGACAAGAGAACTGCAGAAAGAGAGAGAGAGAGAGAGAGAGAGAGAGAGAGAGAGAGAGAGAGAGATGTCCTGTTGTATATATAATGCATGACTAACCCATTTTTAAAGTCCCACCAGCAAAATACACTCCAACTGCATCGTCCCTGCTTATGTGTGTGTGTGTGTGTGTGTGTGTGTGTGTGTCAAAAAATATAGTAATTTAAGTAAATTTGTGTTCGGATTATCCACAAATATTAAGAGATGTTAAAGATTTGAGTGTCTAGGTGCCTATAGTGCTAGGAAACTGTAGGAAACTGACCATATGCTCTCTCTTTTTGTGTGTGTGTGTGTGTGTTGACCATTCAGTGTCCTATATTGACAGTTACTTTCAGGTTCCTAAAGTCTGAGTTTTCTAGTCTTACATCTACCTGCATTCTGTGTGTGTGTGTGTGTGTGTGTGTGTGTGCGCTCAATCATGCATGAGGTCAAATCTCAGTCTGCTGCTGTGTAAGGACACACACACACACATAACTTTCCATCATACCTGAAGGCGTGCAACTGTAACACCACATTCTCATAAATCGAATGTGTTTCACAGCTGAGATAAAGGTGACAACTGACATCAATTGTGTGTGTGTGTGTGTGTGTGTGTGTGTGTGTGTGTGTGTGTGTGTGTGAGGCTAAGCGTATACTATGTGAGCAGAGGGTATCTGGGTGACTGCCAAGTAGTCACGTGTGCTCTGCGGTCTTTGTGTGTGTGTCAGTAATAGCCTCTCATGTGTGTCCATGCGTGCATGTGATGTAGGGGTAGGCTTCAATCCAGATGCTGCCTGTCTTGCTGTGGATTGTGAGGTTATTCTTGACGGGTGTGAATAACTGTGTGTGTGTGTGTGTGTGTGTGTGTGTGTGTGTGTGTGTGTGTGTGTGTGTGTGTGTGTGTGTGTGTGTGTGTGTGAGTGTGTAGGGGGAAAACAGGGTGTCCTCTAAGTGTACTTAATATGCCATCACTAAACTGGTGCCTCCTGACTAGCCAGCACATGCACTTTCACATTCCCACCTGCAGAAATGATAGTGGGCCCAATGAAGCATGATGATATACACCATACACACCACTATGGTTAACACTTACAGTATAAAGATAAGGAGAAAGAGGCAGAGATGAATGGGAAGCATTTGGCTTACAACCTGCATGTTTAGTTGATTTATGATCAGCTACCTTCTCACTAAAAACCCCTTTTTACTAAAGTACTACAACTGTTAGGCTACTGTACGGTAACAGTGTGTTTTGTTATGTCAGGTTCGTGAGAAAAGTGTATGTGCATATATCAAAATTAGTAATTTTCATCTCTGAACTAGTCTAGATGAGCGATAATGTTATCACATGACCTGTCCTTGGCACAGAAAGCTTGTTACAGTATGCGGCGATCAGAAAATGATCATTACTTTATCATGAGAAAGTAAAAAGTAAAAACATTTACACTATTGTGAATTTTACTTCATAAAAACATTAATAATATTGGTATGTTATTAATAATATTGTTATGTTAATGTATGATGCATTTCCAAGTGTCCAGTCCACAGGGACTTAAAAGACGGCAACAACAGCAAAAGAAAAAAGTTGCAGTGGTGAAACACATCTTGTCTTAGACAAAGACATTGTTTCTTGCATATTAAATTATATTGCAAACAAAGAACCCCTGTCCCAAGCTCTACAAATAAAATCCCTTTCCAAAATGCATCTCAATTATTTTTTATAATATTGTTAGGTATTAAATTTCAAATGTTAGGTTACCGACTGAACAGACAGAGGTAAAGGTCAGAGATGAGCCTCCAGACAGTAGATGTGACAAATATTTCTGGGTCCTCGTTAAAATTTTCACACACTAACAGCCACTTGGCAGGTACCATCATTCTGAGGACCTGCTTCAATTTCAAAACACATTCTCACTGCCCGAAGAAAATCGTGCATCTGAAAAGAGAACCAAGGTTTTCACAAGAGCGACAACATGTAGTTAGTAAAAAACTGTGAAAACACTTGGTAAATTCTGCCACAGAGTGACTTCCTGTCTTTGATCTCCAGAATATTAAAGCTTAGTATTGCTGTTGTGTGTCTCCTAGTTCATAATTGACTGACTTTATGCCAGATGAAATACAGAAGATTGAGTTGTAAAGAGGAAGCTGTTGGTGTTTTTACACATCGACAGGAAAATATAGTGAAAAATGATCAGCTGCCAGCTTGAGAAAAGCAGTAGAAACTGCTCTCTTCTCCTGTGAAACATCTGTTCAGTTGCACTAAATTCAATCCAGACTGTGAAAGCTGCAGTATTGAGGTTTAGTAGCAGGTGATGCAGAGGGTTTGGCTGTCAACTGCTCAGCTGAAGTTGTTGTAAATCAGATTTAATAACAACTCGGAGAGGAGATTCAGACACCAGGAGTACTGTAGGAGTCAATTAGGTTAAGGTTCTTGGAAATCTGGGCTATCCCTAACACACTAACGTGCTTACAGGCACACCCACACACATACACACTCTTTGGGTGATCGCAGTATGTCAGCCACACGTGACTCAACTTCAGCTGCTCTCCAACAAGTCATTATGGCAGAGGTGATGGAGTCAAATTTCGCTCTCTGTGGAAGTATGTGTGAGATCCCATCCCTCTGGGAAGCATCCAGCTCTGAAAATTCACTTTATAGCAGCTCATCATGTTTGACTAAAACAGTCCGGGGGTCAGCATAGGTTGGCTGGCTGTTTGTCTGACACACAGCCACAGTCGCACGTGTTGGGAAATCATCATCTCAGCTGTTGTCATACTTGAATTGAGCACTGCTCCCATTTTTCTAGGAAAAGTTTCCCTGGGAAATACATGAGTGAGGAACCTTTACAAGTCCAGATATTTAATCTAACAGACTTGATAACAAGTTCAACACATTCAAAGTGCAGCTAGTCTATTATGAATGTGAACATTTGGCTTTAGGGGTGTTAAAAGGAATTTTACTTGGCATACTTAACATCACACCTTAACCTGTTATGACTGTTATACTTGTTATGGTTGACTGACAATAAGGAACGAATAAACAGCTGTTTGGTCCATTAAATGTCAG